CAAAAATAAAAAAATAGATAGATTGTTAAGAGATAAAAAGATTATATTAAAATGTGAATTGTTCAATCTTCCAATTTCATTACTAAATCTACACTAATTTAATATTAATGGTAGTTAGAAAATGACAATAGATAGAAGATTAAAAAAATCAATAAAAACGTCTATTTTGAATGCTTAATATATAGATTAAATAATGAATCCAAATGTAAATTATATAACATCTCATTGTGTTTTTAGTAAAAATATATAAAATATCCCGTGTTTTATATATTATGTGAAATTTTTTTGTATTAATATAAAGTTTGAATGAAACACCATCTTTGTTCAAATCTGATGTTTGGTTCTAAATATGCAAATTTTACACAAATAAAAAACGTAAAATATTTTAATAATTTTTTGAATAAAATAAATTCATAAATAATTGATTAATCTTTCATTTTATAATTTTTGGGAGATAAATTGTTATATGATTTTTATAAAAACTATAAAAATAAATTATATAATCAATTATTTATTATTTATTTTATTCAATTTTTTTTAAAAAAATTTATGTTTTTTATTTGTATAAAACTTGCGTAATTTTTTAATTTAGAACCAAATATCAGTTTTGGATAAAGAAAGTATTTTATGCAAACTCTATATTAACACAATAAGATTTCACGCAATTAATAAAATACGAAATATTTTATATATTTTTACTAAAATACAAGTGGGTGTTATATTATTTACTATATTATTATATTATTATTAAATAATGGAGAGAAACATAGAGCATCAGTTGGTTACCCCACTTGGTTGATAAAGCAAAAGCAAACAAAGAAAAGGAAAAACATATAAAAAGAGTGAGAAAGAAAAAAAAAAATGTTAATGAAAGAAAAGAAATTTAAAGAATCTACACTAAAAGACAAAAGCTTCCCAAAACCCTAAGCATAGCTCATTATTTTCTAATTTATAAATAAAATAAGGTAAATATGTTTTTATGTGATATTTAAAATTATGAATTAATATTTAATATAATATAAAAATTTGATGTTTAATTTGATATTTTATAATTGAAAATTAGTTAATGGATATATTTGATTTTGAATTTTATTTTGATGTTTCACAAAAATTTAAAAAATAATACTCTTTTTATTCGTCTCTAAGAGTTATATTTCTTTTGTACGTCATTATATTTAATATTAAAAATATTTTAATATTTATATAATTTTTGTACAAATGTCATTGTATTAGTATTATAAGATACTAATAGAAGTATGTTTGCTCTTTTTTCTTTGATTAATTTGTATTAGGTTTTGATATAATAATTAATAATCAAATATCAACATTAAAAAAAATAAATATAATCCTTAGAGCCGGATATATGTAATATCTATTTATCACTATGAACGAGTAAGAATGAAAATTATCAAATTGCTTAAATAGTGCTTGTACCCTATGAAAAAACTACAAAAAAAAAATATCGAAATGATTGTTTATTATAAATTTTTATATAGTATGATACCGTACTTTTTCAGTAGGTAATTATATATACTTTTTAGAATTTTTGGTATTTTAATATTCGATTTGTCTGTATATATCGATAATTTAGTATATATGAATAATAAATAATCAGTTTTCTAATATATTCTTAAAACTATAAATTATTTTTAATTTTGATATTTCAGTGTAAATATTATATTCTGATACCCTACATACATTTCGATTAGAAATAAATCAATATGATATACTAACAATATTGGACCATATTGTATACCATACCAAATTTTTTGGTACATTAAAAAAATAATAAATACCATACCAAAATCGTTCGGTATGGTATCATGTCATCCCGAATTTTTCTGTGTACCAAATTTTGATATCTTCAGTATTTTTTGGTTCGGTGTGCATTGTTTTGATGATTCGCTATTTTTTTATTATCTAGAAATTCACTATAATAAATTATTGATACAATATCTCGTTACAGTAAAATAGCATACAAAAAATTTTGATACATTATATATGATATATGGTATAAATTTTGATATGTATGTAATCGGTAATACCAAATTATCCATACCAACAATCAAATTCAAGAAATTTGATGTATTATTGATATTAAGAATATTATTATTACGATTTTTAATTGTATTTAAATTTTTATTTTTTTATTTTTATCTAATTGCATATTTTTAAAATAAAATAATTTCAATAAATAAAATATTCAGTATTTAAAAATTAAAAAATATTTTAATTTTTATTCAATATAGTAGCAAATAGAAAATATTTAAAATAATATTTTATTACTAATATTACATCAATTAATCAAATTAATTAATTATACAATTCAATTTTTTTTAATGTGAATGTTAAAAATAAAACTGAATCAATTTATCGAAAGGAAGCATATTTCTTAGAAAATACATATGTCGACACTGGCAGATTTGGGGTGCGTTTGTTTGGAGGATTGGATTTAGATTCAACTATTCATCCAATTTTATTTTTTCAAAAAATATCAAATCAAACACCTATTTTTCATTTTTTATATTATACTAAAAATCAATTTTTCATTCAAAACATTACATCATACAACTATTCAAATTCAAATTTTTACTATTCAAATCTCAATCCAAAATCCAAACCCCCAAACATAAATACATATTTAATACTCCCTCCGTCTCAGATATCATGTCCACGTTGTCGTTTTTGTTCATCCCACATACCATGTCACTTTCATTTGTTTTTAAAATAATTACACATTTTAATCTTATTTTAAGTTTTTAATTTTATTATTTTTTAATTTTAATTAAACTAATTAGTTATCTTAATCTTAATTTATAATTATTTATATCATTGGATAATTATTTTTACTAATACATTCTTAATTATCTACTAATTATATCATTCCTAAAATATCGTGTCCACAATATAACGGTATCTGGGACGAAGAGAGTACATATATTAATAAATACATATACTTTGAGCGAAACCTCCTGGGTAAGGTTCATCGTTTTAATTTTTGTATTTTACAACTGTTTTCAAAGTATTTTATTTTTTTCAAAAAATATTATATTCAAATTACTCCCTCGCGTTCCACCGGAACCTTCTGATTAGATACGGTATTTAAGATGAAAATATTTAATTAATTAATAATAATTAGTTATGATATTATTATATTATTATTTTTTATAATTAATAATATTCATATTTTTAAAGTAAATTTAATATATATATAATTAAAAAAATTAAAATATATGTTTAAATATTTAAAAATTATATAGCAATTAAAAAATATATGCAATATGGATATTATTTTGTAGATAATAAAATTTTCTATAATACAAGTAAATAAAAAAATATTTTTATTTATTTATAATTAACATGAATCAATTTTATAAAAGATGTGTAGTTTTAAATATAGATAAAAATATTTATTTTTTGAGGAGAGAGGTAAAAATAAAGGAGTTTTGAGTTGTCTTACATCATTTATTATATTGTATGTTACATAGTTAATTAAGGTAATTTATATTTGTTAAATATGTTTTAATTTAATAATTTTTATTAAAAATAAAAAAATATCAATTGTTATGTGACAGACCAAAATTAAAATAGTGTCGATTGTGGTGGGACGAATAATATTGCATGTATAACCAAAAACCTAAAGTTTAAGTAAACTATGCATAACTTTTAAATTTATAGTTTAAATGAGAAATAACCTGTGCAATGGTCCCTAAATCTGGAAATTTTGAAATTTTTGAAAATTGAGTATTTATTTGATGTTTTGTTATATAAAAGTATAATATGATTTAAAAAGAAAAAAAATACTGTTAATGAACATTGCGGGTGTGTTTGTTTGGGGGTTTGGATTTTGGATTGGGATTTGAATAGTAAAAATTTTGAATTTGAATAGTTGTATGATGTGATATAAATAGGGTTTGATGTGATGTTTTGAATGTAAAATTGATTTTTTAGTATAATATAAAAAATAAAAAATAGGTGTTTGATTTGATGTTTTTGGGGGAAAAAAATTGGATGAATAGTGGAAATCCTCCAAAATCCTTCAAACAAACAAACCCGCAAAAACTTTTAAAATATTTAAGTAGATAGAGATATTTTATTACCCTCTCTTCATTCGCTTTGGGGGTTTAGATTTTGAGTTGAAATTTGAATAGTAAAAATTTTGAATTTGAATAATTATATAATGTGATATAAATAGGTGTTGATGTGATATTTTGAATGTAAAATTAATTTTTAGTATAATATAAAAAATAAAAAATAGGTGTTTGATTTAATATTTTTGGGAGAAAAAATGGAATGAATAGCAGATTGAAAATCCAATCCCCCAAACAAACACACCCTTAGTAACCAATCTTCTCATTTCCGATCGACATCTTCTGGAGTTTTTTTTGAACGAATCTATTTCTATGGAAAATTAGAACGTCTTAAGAACCTTTTAGTTAAGGTTAAGAATTTACTACATTTTTCATCATTGTAATTGTATTATACAAATTTCCTTCTATTAGTATTATAAGATACTAACATAATTATTTTTGCTTTTTTCCTTAGATTTGTATAATTAATATTCAAATATCAACATGCAAAAAAATTAATGAGACTCTTTGAGCCGGACAGAAATAGTATTTTTTTTCATAAAATATTATATCAAAATATTATTTAAACAAAAATTCAAATCTAATACTTTATTTCAAATCAATATCAAATAAGAGTCGAACAAACCAACCTGTATTTCTTTTGATGAATTTGGAAAAAAAAATGATTTGAGTTTGGTATGAAAATAATATTTGATGGGATATTTTGTAAAATAAAAAAAAAAAAAAAGATAATTTTTTCAAAAAATACAGAATTCAAATAGTAAAATTTAAAAACTTCGACTAAAGAAACGTACTCAGACCTCCGAACACAAATAGACACACACAAAATAAAATAAAATAAAATAAAAAAGAAAAAGTGAGAAATACCGAAAGGTCAAATTCAGAAAGTGAGATTAGAGCAGACATTCATCTCCATCATCATCATCACTCTTTCTCCAACTTGCAAAATAAATATATAAAAAAAAAATACAAATTGAATTAGCTGCAAAGAATTAAAGATCGATCCACGCCATGAACCACGGCGGTGTCCAGAGCTCTCCGCCGCAGCAGACGGCGGCCGCAGCCGCTACGTGGTGGAGCTCCAACAACACTACTACAACTATTATTCGACCTCCGCCGCATCACCATCAGCTCGAGCTTCCTCTCTCTTGCAGCCAACTGCTCCTGTACTGTACTCTACACTTTCTCTCTCTATACATACATACATATATATATATATACACATACATATATTTCAATTCTGTGCATGGTACCCTAATTAGAATTTACAGCAGGCTTAATTTTTTAAATTTAATTTTAGACTAAATTGCACAAAATCTAACTCCTTCAACCGTCTTTATTTAACGATATTTAACATAAATGCGCTCAAATTGCAAATAAATTTTAAAATCTTAGTTTCTAAACTCTCAATTTCTAAACCCCTGAAATTACAAATATATTTATTATTTTTATATTTAGCCTTAAAAAAATAGTTAATATAAAAAAAAAATAGTTATTTTTTTCTAAAAGTTTATTTTTCTGTTTTTTAGGCTAAATATTTATAAAAAAATAAATATATTTGTAATTTTAGGGGTTTAAAAATTAAAATTCTAAAATTTATTCGCAGTTTGGACGCATTTAGGTTAAATACCGTTAAATAAGAGCCACTGAAGGATTAGACGCAAAGTTTATTGAACCACGAGGGAGTTTGACGCAGTTTTATAAGTACGGAGAATTTCACCTAATTTCATGAAACCACAAATAGATTTTGTACAATTTAGCCTTAATTTTATAACTTTGTATATGTATTTTGATCTGTAGAGCAGAGCTGGTTGGTGAAGATAAGGAATCAGGTTTAAGAAGATTGGAGAATTGGGAGCAACAACACCTTCTCACTCTAACTAATTCATCAGATTTGAAGCATCCTCACAATAATCTCTCACCTGATCAGGTCTCTCTCTCTCTAGCTATCTCTCTCTCTCTATATGTATATATATATACTGCAAATCATTTTGTTATAAATCTAGGGTTTAAATCAGTAAGTGAAAAATAATTACTTTCCAAAACTTTATTGTTTGATCGATCCATGTTTGATTTCTGATCTTACATATTAATCATGAGGCTTGAGTGGATCAAATATTTTATTTTCAAGAACTGATTTTATTTTAATTTGAGTGTATATTGTTTGATTCTCTCTTCATGCAATCCCTCCAATTTTTTTTATTTATTTATTTTTAAAAATTATATAGATCTCGAAAAAATGAAAAATAAAAAAGAGGGTAAAACACAAATGGTGTGTTTATTTGTAGGATTTTGATTTTAAATAGTAAAATTTTAAAGTGAAATAAAAATTTTAAAGTGAAATAATTATTTGATGTGATATAAATATGTATTGATGTGACATTGTGAATGTAAAATTAAATTTTAGTACTCCCTCCGGATAAAGTATACATTTACTTTTGGCGCGTGTTTAATAAATAATAATATTTTAATTATAGTGGGTAGTTAAAAGTAGTGTAATGACATTTTTGCCCTTGCTTTTTTATATAAAAGTAATGATGTGATGTAAAATAAGGGTATTTGTTGAAAAAAGTAAGGTATTTAATGAAATGTTTACTTTGTAATTGGACGCCCAAAAATAAAAATATGTATACTTTTTAGCTGGACGGAGAGAGGAAGTATAATATAATAAATAAAAAATATGTGTATGATTTTATGATTTAAAGGGAAAAAAAAAAATAGAATAATAAAATTAAAATGAAAATAGCACAAGTAAACACACCCTTGGAGAAAGATGAAGGATATTCATCTTTGTCTTGTAAGTCTTCCGAATTAGATCCACATAACATTTATATATTATTATTTTCATAAAAAGTTCATAATTTTGAATTTTGCTCACTATATATATATATATATATATATATCTATATATTTATTTATTTTATAAAAAAGTTACACTTTATTTAAACATATTTTCACTCAATTGGCACTGTTTATTTTATAAAAAATATCACATCAAATACATTTTTTCTCTCACAAAATATCAAATCAAATACTTAATTTTTTACTTTTTCCAAAGTTTCAAATTTTTAAAAACCTCCAAAAACTCCTATCTAAAAATACCCTTACGCTTTGTTTACTTGTGAGATTTTACACCTAATTTTACTATTCCAATTTTTTTTTTTCTCGAAAAACATCAAATCAAACACTCAATTTTTATTTATTTTATTACACTAAAATTTAATTTTACATTAAAAACATCACTCAATATATATTCATATCCTATCAAACAACTGTTTCAATTAAAAAATTTACTATTTAAAATAAAAACTCAGAACTAAAACCTCGCAAATAAACTAACAATTTTGAATTTTGCAGTGCAATAGCATCAATAGTGCCATAACAGGTGGGGCAGCCAAGAAAGCAAGAATTCAACCTCCTTCACTACAGTCTACATTCAAGGTGTGTATATATATACTCCTTCGTTTATTTAACAATCTATTTAATTTTTTATTTTTGTTTATTTCATAACAAAGTATTCATTTTTTTAGTAATTATATTATTTACCTAATATTACAAATATCTTTCCAATTTATAATATATTATACAAATATCATTACTTTATATCATACAATAGTAATAAGGTTGGTTTAATCTTTTTTACTTTTATTGTTACTACATTCCAATATAATACTGATATTTTTAAAACTCTGTGCAAAAAATAAATGAATAAATAGATATGAGACTGAGGAATATATATTATACTTTAAAACAAGAGTTTTTATTTTTTTTAGAACAATAATAATTAATTAATTAATTTTATGTTATTTCTAAAAAAAAAAAAAAAAAAAAAAAACATGTCCCACAATACCATCTTCTCATTTTGGAACTTGACTCTCGTCTTTCATGGTTGTCCTGATTTCCTCTTCTTGATGATTCTCATTCTATTCTATCTCTTATTTCAGTCCACACAAAATTATGAGTGAAAGAAACATACACTACAAAAATATATCAATTTTGTAACAAGATTTTTTCGTTGTTAAATCCATTTTTTCCGTTACTAATGATATTAGAGACGGAATTTGAGATGGAATTACGTTAGCTACGTGAACTTTAGGAACGAAATTCCATTACAAATATACTATTTTTTTGTAGTGATATATAATTCAGATATACTTCCTCCGTCCCATAACAAAGTATTCATTTTTTTATTTTAGTTTGTCCACTAACAAAATATTCATTTTTTTAGTAACTATACTATATACCTAACATTACAAATACACTTACAACTTACAATATATTACACAAATGTCATTACTTTTATATCACACATACTAATAAGGTTATTTTAGTCATTTCTACTTTATTCCTACTACACCTCAATATAATAATAATAATTCTAAAACTACGTGCAAAAAGCAAATGAATATCTAGTTATGAGACGGATGAAGTATTATCATTCATCAATCGATCTAAATCAATGTAATTATCTAATTTATGTATGCGTTTGGAAATAAAATAATTGATTAACGGCAACTATTACGGTATTGATTATGATTGCACATTATATATAAATCTACAACACACATATAAATAGAACTAACGGTACGTTACTAAAATTTTATACCACGGGCATTATCTGCTATATATTTTGATATGTTATTTATAGTATTTTCATGTATTGATTGGAACGTGCGCAATACCTGTTGTGCTAATAAATCTCGAATAAGTATTCTAACGTAATTAATTGACAGGTGAAAAAAGAAAAATTGGGAGACAAAATAACAGCCCTCCACCGGCTTGTTTCCCCATTCGGAAAGGTAAATATTTATCCAAATTAACTCAATCAAAATCGACCACACGGGATGAAACTAATTAACACTTATATTATGGATCGATCGATGAAAAATACCACTATTAAATTTTAGATTTTATTATTATTTTTTCTATGCAATTAAGAATATTTATATATATATATATATATAAAAATAGAAACCAATTATATTAAATCTTTTTAATCTTTAAGGTTTTAATTGAAATATATATGTTATTCCCTCCGTCCTAAATATAACATTACCGTTACTGTAGATACAAAAATTTAAAATGAATATAATTAGTAAATAATTAAGAATATATTAGCAAAATTAATTACAATATAATATAAATAATTATAAATTAAAATTTTAAAAATTTTATGTTACGGAAATTTTCAGAAAATCAAGATGAGATAACAAAGACAAAAGAACACAAGAATTTGGTAACCCAGTTCGATCACGATGATCTACGTCTGGGGGCGCTGCCAAACCAGGAATTTTACTATAAAGTACGCAAACACATGTCAAAGTGAGAATGCATAGATATTTATAGCCAATGCCTATGATAATAATATCCAAACCATATCTCCAAATCTCGGATATTATATCCAAATCATATCTAAATCATATCCCTAGATTTTAGGATATAATCAGGCTTTATATCTCAACAATCTCCCACTTGAAGACTGATTTCATTTTCCACTTCAACATTTTACTTCATCCGCAATGACAACGCCAAACCTCATTGTTCACTCATAGAGGCCCATTGAGGTTGAACACAACCTCAATTCATCTAAGGTCACCATCTTAGATTATCTTTCAAAATTGCTCATAAATCGGCTCACTACTTCCACTGCATGTGCTTTCCACATCCTAAAGGTATCAAAAGCATCATAATTACACGTAAGGAAATATACTCATACCTTCCTTGTAAAGTCGTCAATGACCATGGAGTAATACTGTGAGCCTCCAAGGGTCGATACAAAAGTTGGTTCTCGCAAGTCCGTATGAACCAACTCCAACTTTTCATTTTCCAAGTCTCTCCCACCATTTGAGAACGCCACCTTTCGTTGCTTCCCAAAGATACAGTCTACGCATACTCCAATATCGACGGATTTGAGACCTGACAATCTTCCCTTTGACATGAGCTTCTCTATCTCCTTCTCGCTCATGTGTCTGAGATGAGAATGCCATAAATTTGTGTCATTATTTATGGCCACGGAACTGATTTCGTCTTGCATGGTTTTCGTCATGTAGAGAGTTCTATCTCTTCTCTGTTGGACCACCACAATGGATCCTTAGGTTACCTTCCACGACTGAGTTTAAAAAAACTGTCGAGTAACCTGCCTCATCCAATTGTTCAACGGAAATCAGATTCCGTTTCAAACCCAAAACATGGCTCACGTCATTCAATCTCCACTCTCCACCATTCGGTGTTCTGATTCGAATCATTCTTCTACCTACAACTTTCAATGTCTCATCATCTGCAAGATAGACAATACCAAAAATTACCTGTGGCATAGGATTTCATGATTCTCGAATCTCTGCATGAGTGGAATGACGCTCCTGAGACCAACATCCATGACTCCATTGGACTGCTGACGCTCAGAATCAGCACATCGGATATCTCCTCCGCTTCGTTTGCCGAACCTTGATCCTTCTCCGGAGCCCCGCACTTTCGTTTCAAGTGCCCCTTGCAGTTTCAACATACCACCCAACTTGCATCTTCCTTGTCGATTTTCTTTTACTCGACTTCATCCATCTTGACTCCCACAAACAAACATAAGGCTCACTTGATATGAGAGCACATCGGATATTCCGCTGCATTTGCCGAAACCCTTATCCTTCCCTGCCAACATTGCACCGCCTATCACAAAGGGACTCGCTGCCTGACCTACCAGTCGGAACCGATCAAACACCGCCAGGAGACTTTCGACACAAGGCACCTCCGCAGGTCACAGGGGATTCCCACAACGATCCAACGTCCGATTCCTCTCAATCCACCCTATCAACGAACTAGGCTCTGATACCACTTGTTACGGAAATTTCCAGGAAATCAAGATGAGACAATCAAGGACACAATAATTTGGTAACCCAGTTCGATCACGATGATCTACGTCTGGGGGCGCTGTCAAGCCAGGAATTTTACTATAAAGTACGCAGACACTTGTTAAAGTGAGAATACATAGATATTTATAGTCTAAGCCTTTGACAATAATATTCAAATCATATTTCTAAAATCTAAAATATAATATCCAAATCATATCCCTAGATTTTAGGATATAATCAGGCTTCATATCCCAACAATCTCCCACTTGAAGACTGATTTTATCTTCCACTTCAACATACCTCATTCAATCTCCACTCCCCACCATTCGGTGTTCTGATTCAAATCATTCTTTTACCTACAATTTTCAGTGTTTCATCATCAGCAAGATAGACAACACCAAAATTACCTGTGGTATAGGATTCCATGATTCCCGAATCATTGCATGAGTGGAATGACGCTCCTGAGACCAAAATCCATGACTCTATTGTACTGCTGACGCTCAGAATCAGAGCATCGGATATCTCCTCCGTTGCGTTTGCTGAACCCTGATCCTTTTCCGGCGCCCTGCACTGTCGTTTGAAGTGCTCCTTGCAGTTCCAATATACCACCTACCACCTGACTTGAATCTTCCTTGTCTGTGTTCTCCGGCTTCAACTTTGACCATTTTTAATCTTCGTCATTTTCCTTTGCCTCAGATCTAAATTCAGTCGAGACATTCTCCCAAAGGGTTAGTCGAACTGCACTCATCGTCTTCCTGTCGATCTTCTTGTATTCGGCTTCATCCATGTCTTCGGATTTCTCCTTCAATACCGCATCTAGATCTTTACCATACATGTAATCTTCTATCTGCATATTTCAGAAACCGATGTTCATACCATCGAATACCTTGACAACATGACGATCACCCATCTTGACTCCCACAAACAAACTCAAGGCTCACTTGATATGAGAGCACATCTCTGATATCTTCTCTGCTGCGTTTGCCGAAACCCTTATCCTTCCCTGCCTACCTTGCACCGCCTATCACAAAGGGACCCGTTGTCTGACCTACCAGTCGGGACCGACCCAACACCGCAAGGAGACTTTCGACACAAGGCACTTCCGCAAGTCACAAGGGATTCCCACAGCCACAATCAATATCCGATGCCTCCCAATCCACCTTACCAACGAACCAGACTCTGATACCACTTGTTACGGAAATTTCCAGAAAATCAAGATGAGATAACAAAGACAAAAGAACACAATAATTTGGTAACCCAGTTCGATTACGATGATCTATGTCTGGGGGCGCTGCCAAGCCATGAATTTTACTATAAAGTACGCAAGCACATGTCAAAGTGAGAATACATGGATATTTATAACCAATGCCTATGATAATAATATCCAAACCATATCTCCAAATCTCGGATATTATATCCAAATTATATCTAAATCATATCTCTAGATTTTAGGATATAATCAGGCTTCATATCTCAATATTTTAAATTATAAAATTTAAAATATGATTAAAATATCTATTTTTTTTTCTTTAAAAATGGCATGAATTGTGAGACGGAGAAAAATAAATTGTGTGACATGTAAGACGAAGAGAGTATTAAATGTGTTTTGGAAATAACATATTTTGAATGAATAATATATGCTAAAAATAATGTTTTTGATAAGAAGGTATAGGCCTTTTATATTTTAAATTCAAATAGACATTGATTATAGTGTTTTGTAAGAAGATTTTTTAATTATTATTAATAAATATTGAAATAAATAAAGCTAAAAATATAAGTAAATAGGTTTGAAAGTATAAATATATATTGGACCCCTCTAATTATTTATTAATTATAATTTTATGGTATTAACATTTTATTATTTACTTATTTATTTATTGTGTTGGTGTTTATGTTGTATTGTTGTTGAGTGCAGACAGACACAGCTTCTGTGCTGTTAGAAGCAATTGGATACATCAGATTCCTTCACACTCAGATTGAGGTGACACACATTTCCTACTCACTCACATATTTGAATTAATCTAATATGAATCTGAATATTCATCTTTGCACATAAGGGTTAGAAATATTAATATTATATTGAGATGTAGTATAAATAACTAAAATAATATTATTAGTATGTGTGATACAAAGGTAATTACATTTGTGTAATATATTATAAGTTGTACGGTTATTTGTAATGTTAGGTAGATAGTATAATTACTTAAAAAAAAATGGATACTTTGTTATGGAACGAACTAAAATAATAAAATAAATACTTTTTTATGGGACTGAGAAAGTATATATAATGTTGTATAATTAATTAATTAATTAATTAATTAATTTATGTGAAATAAATTCATTGGATCATCATCTGATCATATGTATATCATCACCCCTATCCATTTTCCCTTGAACCGTGCAGGCCCTAAGCTTACCGTACTTGCACACCAGACACCACCTCCCTGTAAGAAATCTCTCTCTCTCTCTCTCTCTCTCTCTATATATATATATATATATCGATTTATATATCAAAAACCCTTTTCTTTGCTTATTAGGTTTAGGTGTATGAATAAGAGTATAATGGCATAATAGTTCTTGTTGGCCTCCTCTCTCTCTCTCTCCACCTCTCTCTCTCTCTAGAAATACATACATATATAGTTAGTTATATATACACGCGAGCTTTCTTGGATCCCTTACCTACTCGAAAGATAACAAAATTTTGTTCTTAAAGTTCACGTAGCTAACATAATTTCATCTCTAATCATATCTTTAATTTCATTAGTAACGGAAAAAGTAAATTTAAGGACGAAAAATCTCGTTACAAAAATGATATTCTTTTAAAGTGGGAGGTTCTGCTTGCATATATATATGTGTGTGTGTTTAAAGCATGCAGATGTTTATTTACTAATTCCTCTTTTTTTCTGCAAAGATTATTTTCATATTTGCATAAAGCATTAGCTTTTCAGCATTCTGGGATAAAATAAATAAATAAATAAATAATACTTAATATTCTTTTTATTTATTTTTATCATTATCCAATAATATAATCTGTAAAGTTTCAGCTCTGATCACTGCCAAAAGAGTAAACGAATATCTTTACATACTATCATTCTTTTGCATTGGAAGTATTTTAAAATTTTCAGCTAGTTTGGTAATAATAAAATTAAAATAAAACAAAAATAAATCTTGAGGCTTTGTTTATGCTTAGGTATGAAAAATATACATGTAATTTTAAAAAATAATATTTTGCATTTAATTATTATTTTTTGTGATTGAATACAATATATATATATATTATACTTTCTTCGTCTCAATTAAAAATATATATTTTTTGTTTTTACCAATTTCATCTATTTATTAAAAAGTATTTTTTTTTTTTTAGTAAAAGTAACCTAATATCCTTAATTTTTATTTAAATTATAAATATATCATTACATATACCATTACTGTTTATATATTATATAAAGTCAAAGAGCAAAAATCAAAATTTCTTGTACACTTCCATTGATTAATAAAATATTATTATTTTTTAATTTACTACAAAATCTCAAAAACCCCCTCTCAAATGGATGAAAAAGAATAATATATATTGTATGGTTGATTATATATCGTGGTAGTTTTTTTTTTTTTGATATTAGGAAAGCGTGTTAATTTTTGTTGGTTATATAAATAGACGTTTGATTATATTGAACTAAGAATAAGTTTGTTTATATAGTATTTGTTTTAAATATGATGCTTTTTAGATAGAATATTTTTTAGTAAATACTGCAAAAGCAAATATGAAGATATAATTAGTTTCATAATTATTTTCATGCAATTTCTAGCATAGCATAAGATGGCGGGTAGAGTACTGATTAGGTCAAATTAAAATCGTGTTAGATTTAGCTCAGTTAACTCAGGTAGATAATGCTTGTTTCTATATAACACAACATATAAGTTTGTCCATGTAAAAGCATGTACTGTGCAATTTTATATTTATATTGCATTAGATAAATATATTTATTGCGCTTAGATCAATAATAAATTGCTCTATGTAGAATTATAATGTTTGTTGTCACAATATATATACTATGTAAAATTTTATTATGTGTTGTCAATACATATGTTATATTGAATTATATCATGTACCATCTCCGTCTAACATATTATCGTCGGAGCTAATATGATTTATCGACAGACTTTTGTCACCATTACAAAGCAAATTATATGCAGATTAAAACAACCATATTTCAATTAATTATATAACTAAGTTTTAATAGACTTTAAATATATATATATATTTATGCTTTAGGAGTATCAATTATATTGAGAATAAAAAATTATAAAATTTTATTTTATTTTTTATAACGTGAGAATCCGTAGCTACTACTCGTCGAGTGTGCTCTGGGTAAACCCTCGGCTGAACCTAATACCTGCAAACTAGGCCCGAATAAAATTTCATTTTCTTGTTTCCTATGATACTTTGTTCAAGTCTTGTTTTCTTGGTATTATTTAATTAGGGTTCCAACGGCGAACCGAAAGCTGATTTGAGGAGTCGAGGGTTGTGCCTCGTTCCAACGTCGTGCACACTTCAGGTGGGGAGTGACAATGGAGCTGATTTCTGGCCAGCTCCGGCTGCTTGCGATGCAAACCTTCGATTTTGATCATTAGTACAATCGAAAAATTAGATGATATAACATCACGAGCAGCCAATCTGCTTAAACAATCCAAGGCTGACTGCTTCTGATGCTATGCATTTTTCCATGTTTGTGACACTTATGCATCTATTGTATTGAAAATTTTTATCTTATGCATTTGTTTTCGATCGAAGAACATGTTAGTTTAATTTGATAAAGTGTTTCTTAATTTATGATTAATATGGGATGATTTCGTAAGAGGTATATCCAACTTGGTATCACTAAAAGTTATAGGCCAATATGTAGAGTTGTAATTTGATTATTTAGAATTAAAGAATATGATTGCGTCAGTCTTTTCAAAAATATTTCGATATTAGTGGATAGATTTAGTTATTTATTTATTTATTTTTATCCTTACACGCACATACTCACACACCCAACATAAGCATATACACATCCACCTGGAATCAAATTAGGACTTAGCCTTCAAGAAAAAGATGTCTTACTAATAGAAATAAATATTTTTGAATTCAACGGTAAAATAATATCTGTAATAGGACTAAAATACATGTTCATATATATATATATATATAGATATTATAATATAAAAAATAAAATAAATTCTAGGGTGTATTCAGTTTTTATTTCAAATAAAAAATTTCATTATTTATCTTACAATTTACAATAAAAATATATTTAAATTTTTTAATAAAACATCAAAATACTATATAAACTAAAATTTAAACCATCTCCTCAATTACAAAGCAAAACCAAACCCACGTGTGTTTCTTTTGATTTGGTTAAAAAAAATTGTTTGAATTTGGTATTAAAATAAGGTATCGTAAGATATTTTGTGGGAGAAAAAAAAAATTAATTTTTTAAAAACCGCATAATCGAGTTTGGGTGTTAAAAAAACACACTGAACATTGAATTTTCTAAAATTTTATAATCTCAATCACAATCAGGATAATATGTTTTCAACCTCAATGACAATGACTAAATAGTGGAAAAATGATGAATTGTAAGATACAATATCATATCATTGAAATTTGTAAAAAAAATTAAAAATTAAAAAACAATGAAAACAGTTAAAATATACAATTATAAATTGAAACTATATAAATAATTAAAATTAATATAATATTAATTTTAAAAATGATTGATTTAAGCGAGTTCAAGATGTTCGAAGAGATTTTTTTTTTTTTTTTAATCAAACTCATAATCCACTCTTGACTTAACCCGATTTAAAATTTCAAAACTTAAAATCTATCCCGATATAAAATTGAAACTCAAACTCACGCTATTAACACCGAAGCCAAGGCGGATCTAGAGCAAGACCGGTCCCGATTGTCATTTTTTATTTTAACTTTCTATCTAATTTTTTTTTAAAAAGTATCGCTTAATATTTATTTAATATATGATATAAAAAAATTCATTCGAAATATCACAAACGTTCTTTATTATTCTCAAACCCCTAAGACAACCTCAAATATTAAAGAAAGGCACCTTTAATTTTCGAAATATTTAAAAGAATTCTTCAAACAAAGAAAATCGTAAATCAATTCAAAAAAGATAAATCTAAAGGTGCAAAGAAAAGAAATCTTAAGTTGGAATCCAAAAGTGATGCCGATGCACAATAGAAATGGCCAAACAAGAGAGTAATTGTCATTCAAATATCAAAGAATTTATTATTAACCAAAAAACATTAATTAAAAAATGAAGAACTGAGGGTGCGTTTGTTTAGAGAGGTTTGGGGAAAATTAAGTTTGGATTTGGTTTTTATTTGAATTTTTACGTAAATTTAAATTTATATGTTTCTTTTGTGTGTAGATTTTGTTTGAGTTTGGGGTATTAATATGTATTGATTTGATGAGTAGTAAGAATAATATTATGTGTGTATTAAATTTAAATTTTAAAAAAATTAATAATGAGATTATTTAAATATGAATTTATATTATATCTATACATATATTTAACATTTTATTTTTTTTTATTATAAAAAATTTCATTATCTACAAAATAACATATATATTGTATATATTTTATTAAACTATATTTATTATAAATATCAAATAAATGAAATATTTGGGTTGTATTTAAATTAAAAAAACAAACAAACAAAAGAAATGTGTGTTTAAATACACCCCAAATATTTGTCTATCATTTCTCAGAAATATCTAGTGACAATAGCTTTTTTAGGCTTATAATTGTTAGAATTTTGGCAGAAAAATAATGATATTGTCTTATTGATTATCAAAATATATGAGTTTATATATAGACAATACGAAACGGAATAGATAGACTCAAATCTAAGTAATTTAATTTATGGATAAGACCGAATCTAAATATAAATCTACTAAATCTAAAATTGAATATCTAAAAATCTCAACAATAATGTTTTGGGTGTCATTGAAGTCTTGCTGTAAATCCCTTAAATAAGTCAAGAAATCTGAGTTAAATGAACAAGTATGATCACACACATTTGTTCTTTCATTTCGTAATATATGTGTATGTTATGCGGACTTACTTACATCATCCGCTTATCTCATCTATGGAAATATAGTCATTAAGGAACATACAGATCACACCTGAACACCCATATATCCTCCCCACTGATATACTACTGTTTGCCCTTTTATTGTCACCATAAGTCGTTGCTCGCCAACCATTCCATATATATATATATATATATCGCTCACCAGCCATCCCTACTACCCGGCTCACTGACACTCTCACTACAATCACCGCTCACAAGTCATCACTCCGCTTATAACCACCCGCTCATATTTACTGTTTTTTTTTCATATTTATGTCTTTTATATCTTTTAGATCGCTCACCCACGAACCAATATACTGTTTTTCTGATCAGTCAGACTCAGTAAATACTATCATTGATTTAAATTTCATGACTTAAAATTTCTCTATTTGACTTGAATATTCACCGGTATAAAGAGTATAAAGTCAATTATGATACAATATTTTAGAGTCTACAACAACATCATTTTCATAAATTTGATCATTTTCCCATATGCAAGTCAATTTTAATTCATCTAGATCCTTAATGTTACCAAAAACAAAATAATGTCATCATGTACAAATTGCCTAGACTGTGATGTCTCAATAAATGAAAGGTGGAGGTAGGGTTTGCCGACTCTAGCCCTTGGTAAATTTACCAAAGAACGAAAATAATTTATTTGATACGATCAACCAGCATTTATCAAATTTGAAAAAGAGTCAGAAGATATGATTCGACCATCTTATCTTGATTTCAATACATTCCTACAAGTAAAAGAAGTTCGAATAGCTATTGGTTGTGTTCGAAGTTATGAATTATTCCAATTCCATACATAAACAAAACAAAAAGACCAAATTAAAGAAAAATTATAAGCTTGGCAAGATTGAGTAATGGTAGGTTTCTTCGAATTGACAGTAGGATATCTAAAAATACTAACATTGCCTTACTATCTCCAATCCATAAATACACGCAAGACTGAATTTTAGAGGAAGACGCATAACTAAGACAAAGGTGCACTGAAGACGAAGGGAAGGAAGAGTAGTAATAAGGGTATGAGTAGTAGCAGCAGAGAATTTTCGGGAAGGAATTTTCAAAGACTGTACCTCAAACAATTGACCCTTTTTTCGACATATCCCAAAATTTGACCCGTACATGAACCCTGAACCTGCACACCAGAAGAAGGAAAAGTAATAGTAAGTCCCAGTTCAACTAGTTACCTCCATTGGATTGCGGTGCTTTCACAAAGTAGAGGAAGGTTGCCTCCACAAGATATAAAGCAACAACTTCCACGGATCATGGGATAACTACCTCCGTTGGTCTGGGTTAATAATTTCGTACTTAACATTTGTGGAAGGCATATGCACTTTCATAATTTATTCAAAAAGCTCAGTGAAACAAGCCAACAAGAAGAAAATCGAAGATTCCATTTAACTCGAGGCTGTTGGGGATACATCCTCGTGGACCGGCTAGGAGTACGATGGAAACAAGTCAGAGTAAGCGGCAGATCTGGTTCAGAAGCAATGGAAAAAGTTCAGAGCAAGTGGGACCCGGTTAAGAGGCAATGGAAAAAGTTCAGAGCAAGTGGGACCCGGTCCAGAGGCAATGGAAGTGGTTGGGAGTTGATGGAAGGAGGTTACCGGGTGGTTAGAAGCTGATGGAAGAAGGTTACCAGGTGATTAGGAGCTAATTGAATGAGGTTACCAAACAGTTGAAGGTAATAGAAGGAGATTACCAGACAGTTAGAGGCAGTAGTAGGAGGTTACCAGACGGTTGAGAGTGGTGGAGGAATAATTGGAACTGACCCTTTTAATGGGAAGAGACATTATTCTATCTTAGTATTAAAGTAGGAAAAAATACATCACACACGCGCACAAGAAGATGAACTCGTATATTTCTCTATTTTCTTTTCATGTTTTAGTTTTGTTTTATGCACTTTAATTCGAATTACATGCTTTTTTTTTATTCGCTTTCTAGTAGATTTATCCGAGTTTTAGTAGATGTTAGTTTAAATCCATCGAAATCGATCGTTTAGGCTCGAAGCCGTACAGGATCCACCGAAGGAGCCGCCCAAAATTTGATGACGGACAGACTCTTTGGAGTACTTCCGAAACCCATACCGATAAATCAACGAACGGTCTTAAACCTCTTAATTTTAAGATCCAACAATACCCAAATCTTTTTATTATTGAATATGGCCCATGTTAGCATTGATTAGACGTACAACCTACAACGTGATGATTTGCATCAAGTACTAATGGAATCACGTTATTAATAATTTAGTCCATATCTTATTTTCATTAATTGTTTATTTGGATTTTGAAAATATTTTAGTATATTTTACTCTCTCTCTCTCGTTTTTTTTTTTTTAAATAATTATACATTTTAATTTTATTTTTAAAAATTGAATTTATAATTTTTTTAATTTTAATTATACTAATCAATTATCTTAATTTTAATCTATAATTATTTTTATTATACGATAATTATTTTCACTAATATATTTTTAATTATTTACTAATTATACATCTCCTAAATTTCCATATCTACAGTAATACGGACAAAATATCCGAAACGGATGGAGTATTAATAAAAATATAAATATTATAAAATTATTATTATTTGGGTGTGTGTTTTTTTGGTTAGGTTCATGAAATTGTATCTATATATAAAAAAATAATACTATTTTATATTAAA